CCATAGTGTATCTTGTAAGTACCATAAGTGTATCTTGTGAGTACCATAGTGTATCTTGCGAGTACCATAGTGTATCTTGCGAGTACCATAGTGTATTTTGTGAATACCATAGTGTATATTGTGTGCCCATAGTGTATCTTGTGTGCCCATAGTGTATCTTGTGTGCCCATAGTGTATCTTGTGAGTACCATAGTGTATCTTGTGTGATCATAGTGTATCTTGTGTGACCATAGTGTATCAAATGAGTACCATAGTGTATCTTGTGTGTACCATAGTGTATCTTGTGTGTACCATAGTGTATCTTGTGTGACCATAGTGTATCAAGTGAGTACCATAGCATATCTTGTTTGTATCAGTGCATTTTGTGAATACCATAGTGTATATTGTGTGTATATTATTATGATTTTTGTTCACAGCTCTTTTGTGTATTGTTTTGTGTGTGTATGTGAGTGTAGCCCAAACATAATGAAAAACAGTGAGAGTAGTGAAAATGCATTCTGAGAAAACAAAGTAGAATCAATATAGTTGTTTGTAGAAAAAGGAAGAATAATCACAATAATAACAATAGCAACATTACCTTCTCTATCCCATCAACTTCAGATATGATTTCATTTTGATTTTTTTCAGAATTTCGTGTCTTCTTCTCTTCATCAGCAATCATTTTAATATTGGTTTCTTCTTCCGGGTTAGTCTGTCGAATAAAAATGTGCATTGGATTTGAACCAAAGTAATAATTATAAATACATAAAGCTTAAACCTTTTCACCACCAGACTTCCTTGTCCAAATTTTTCTGCACTCTTTTCTTACATTCTTCAATATTTCTGGAAATGAATCTTAATTTTGGAGGCAACAGACAAAAATTGAGTCAGTTTTACTAAAACATTTTGGATACTTTTGTCCCAATCTTCTAAAGAAAAGTGCAGACTATAAATGGGACTATTTTGTGAATTTGTGATGAAAAGAGGGAATTGGTGGTGAAAAGGCTATTATAGTGAATACACTACAGGAACAAAGCGTATTATATTATCATAGGTGAAAACAAATATTTTTTAATTCATTTTGTTCTGCTCAATTAAAACATAGAAACAGTGAAAAAAAATTTTCAAGCTTGCAAACAGGAATTTCCACGTCTTTTCACGCACAATTGAATGGAAATGTCAATTAATTACAGGGAATGAACACCAACACCATTGGCACAGTTAGTATTTAGGATTCTATATGTTTAAAGCACCACAGTAACCACACCAAATTTTGTGAAGCAAATAATGTATTTTACATCTTTTGTTATTGTCACATGGAACCCAGGGGTTTTTCCAGAAAAAACAGCAAGAGGAAGCACTGCAATTCAGCGGCGCCACCAAGTGGGGGAGATAGGGTTCTCCCTACCAGGGTGTAGAGTTTTTGATAATTCTAGGTTAAAATGAAGCATTCTATGGCTTCCTTCCAATGTGATCCCTGGTCAATCAGAGTTTTATGGTTGCCAGATGATCTGCTCCACAGGGTAAGGGGGCACATGGCCATGGCATGAGGGCACTGCGCCCCTGTTCCTGGAACCGATTTTGAACACACTATTGTCGCATAGGACCAATATGAACATGGTGTGGGACAAGCTTGACACTTTGAAACAAGTAAATTAAGTAGTAAACAAACAAACAAACCTTTTTTCCAATCATCATAACTTTACACCCTGCCTTAACTCCTGCATCTTTCAAAGTTTGGTGCGGATCAGACAAAGATTTCCCTGACAATAAATCAAAATATTAAATCTAAGACGTTACAAGTACAATGTAAAAGTGTCTATAATGAATACATTGATGGGCATTACATCAACATTTTAACACAGCTAGACACTCTGATCTACAAATGCATGATGTCCAGGTCTGAAGTTTAATTCTTACAAAAAATTACTGACATGAATGGACCATAATAACCACCAGATTCTAACATGCAATCACTGTAACTATTGAATTTTGTTCATAGTGCTATTTACTTCGTAAGTTACAAGAAAACTTTCCACAAAATGACAAGTTTCAGTATACCATACCTTTACAGATTAGTTTCTGTGCGTGTATCGGAACACCAGTCAATACTTTAGCAGACTCTAGAACATCCAAGACTATCAATTCATCACAAGACTCATCAAACTTAGTTACATCTAATTTATGTTTAACAGAACCTAGAAAATATGAAGAATTATATCATAGCTGCAACTTGACAAAACAATGCAGTGAAGTTCACTGAAAATGTCTCCATACTTTGACTAGATAAATGAAAATAGGGTGCAGTGGACTAATTACGAAGAGGAAATATTAACCTGTGATATTATGAGGTTATTATGAGAATATAGCGCAGTATGCATGAAGGAAGTAGTGATCGCTTCGAGCAATGCAGAGGTCAATGCAAACCCATACTGCCCGAGTGCTTACTTTGCTGTGTTCTTGTGACAGCTGTTATACATCTTTTTCCTGAAGACATAATTTAGTAAGAGATAACAGTCCCCTCCAAAAAATAAGATAAATAAAACACCTCACCATCTCGTTTTCAAATTTCAATGAATTAGATCTTTCAAGATATCAAAATGCCACCACCAACCAACTTGAAGTTTATCAAAGGCGCCCTCAGTCTGGGAGATGTCTGAAATAAACTTGTTCTTCAGCTGGCTCCATATTTGTTTTGACAGTGAAATTGACAACTCGAGGGTTCTAGCAGTCACATAGGACTCCTTGCCAGAGATTGTATTATTTGGTATGTCTGTATTCGTGTCGTAATTTACAGCATTGCAGCAGACTGTTTACAAGAGGTTTGGTAAAGTACCCAGGATAAATTATTGATTAAAATCAATGATACACTGGCATGAAACGAATATGTTGAAAATATTCAATGTAGTAATGTCCACATTTTCTGAATTTGTGTATTTTCATTACTCATGCATTTCTCAATACGCGTACTACTCACCGTGTATCAGAGTCACCGACAGCTTCTGCGTGGAAGCGTCCATTTTGAAAAATATCAATGAACAAAACAAGAGAAATCTGATTCATACTGACAGAGGGCGCCTTACAGATTTAACAAAACAAGATAATGTGATTCATACTGACGGAGGGCGCCTTGCTTGTTGAGATTATTATTTCAAAAAGAGGCTCGGAGACGAATATTGGTCTGCTATTAGAGAAGCACAACATAAAAAAAGTGTGATCCACAATATTCATTTTTAATACTTGTAGAAAATAAATTTGCAGTCTGATTTATTCCAAAGCACCTCTTCCACTAGTTCAATTTTGTTTTAACTAATATTATTAACATCAGAATCAAGCTATGTAATTTATTTAACAAGACTATATTTGTGTAGCTTCTATTCTTGGTAGATTAGTGAAGACAGCAATGAATTAATGAATGAATATAAATCTGATTTTTGAAATCAGAAATTTGCTACTAAAATTAGATAATATGCATAGTTGCTTTTCAATATTCACCTTGCTTATTGATTATCACAGAGCTTCTTCGTACCAAATGTCATTGAAATGTGATGATTATGCATATTATGCATTTAGGTAGATAGTGTGCATGAATTTCGATCTAAAATTAATTAAGTAGTCAGCATTGTTTCCTGGCTCTTATATATCAAGTCGTATTGAAATGTACGAATTCGTTTTTGAGATATAGGGGTGAATAGTTAATTATTATGCAAATTAGGGAATTACTATGCACAGATTTCAAACTAATTTTTTTTAAATAGGTCTGTGCATTGTTTGGGCAACTAGGCAAGTTTCATTAGAATATGAAGTTTAGTTCTTAAAAACTCAATGGAAAAATGAAAATAAAATCATTCAAAAAGTTAAAGCGTGGTAGTCGTCACACAGCACAGGTTCGAATTTCATGTAATTAAACAATGTATTTTGCACACGTTGTATACGTCGCTGTGAGTCCCATATAAAAAAGGTCGCGGCACGATGACTGCCGCCCTTGAAGTAATTTTATGGATATATTTGAACCCAAATATTGTTGTTGCATTGCCTTACAGCATTTATTTACCAAAATTTTTATTAAAATCAAATGATTGGTTTTTTTAGAGCACAATGGAAAAGCTCAACACTGACTAATTATTATGCATATTGTTATTTAGTATGCACAGATTTTAACATAAAACTAATGATTCTGCACAATGTTACAGAGCATCTCTGTACCAATTTTCACTGAAATGTTATTAGTGCTTGAAAAATTATTATGCATATTTGCTAATTAATATGCATGGAATGGAGCACATATGTGAGAAGTTTCATTAAAATGTGATGGTACTACTTGCGATATGATGACACCTTGATATACAATACGGTATAATGATTAATTCAATCAATTCTGATGATAAAAAAAATGAACAGTACACTTGTGTATAAAAAATGTTTTTTATTGGGGTAAGCCTATTGAATTCATACTTGTGATATACGGTTTGTAAAAATGAAGCATGTAACCATGTTTACCTCTTCCATTACATTCATATATTCATCAGTAAGTGAAGAATAAATGTTTGTTTTATTTCTTGTAAATGTTTACTTTCGAATAAATTTGTATTAATTACCTCATCCATTCAATATATACGATTACATACAGTAAAAGATTCAATTTCAATGTTCTTAACTTCAGCTTTCTCTGTATATATGAATAATTTGATTGTGTAATTTGAAGGACGGTATTACCAGTAAATATGAGTATTACAAGAACTTACCTATCAATACATGACCTAATTACTGAAAAATGTGACTACCAATATAGAACTAAACAAAATGGCTACTGATAGATTCGAAGTGTTTGTAATACTACCAATCAAAATGACTACTGGTAGGTTTGAATTGTAGGTAATACTACCAATCAAAATGGCTACTGGTAGGTTTGAATTGTGGGTAATATTACCAAACAAAATGGCTACTGACAGGTTGAATTGTGGGTAATTTCACCAAACAAAATGATGACCGGGAGGTTGAATTATATGTAAATACATTTAAATGTATCAATTTTTCAAAAAACACTTATTAAATTACAGTACAATTATTTCACAGTAATGTCCTCTGACTTATCCCATGTAGAAACGATTACAAAACTGACATATTTTAATGTCAAAAAGTGATTTTTGTAGTCATAGCTACTGCAATAATGAGAAAAAATAAAGTTGACCACATTACACAGCATATATTGGCAAGATATAAAATTGTTTAAAATCACTAAATTTTACATTAATTTGGTTAAAATTGCTTGTAGGAGTGTATTTTCGAAGAGACTAAAACTAAATGTTTGGGCACAACCAGAAACAGTTATTCTTCCTGGTATAAAACAACATTTGCATAAATAAGAAATATTGAAACAAAATATGAAAATAAACATAGCTACAATGCTATTTATACACAAAGATTGTTAACAAATTATTAGCCACATTTATATGAAAAAATAAGTACAAAAATACAATTATTTCTTCAAATTAATTGCATGATTTGGCTTAAAACAATCCAAGCTCATTAGTAAAATAGACAAATATTTGAAATAAAAAGTATTTTATATGTGCACACTGGATTTATGTATCACCGGTAAGTTATTGTCATTTTTACCAAAGATGCAAACAAACCAAATAAGTAAGACTTCAAAACTTTTTAGCTCTGAGAATCAGTTCCCTGATAGACATAGCAGACACAGTTAAAACACAAAAAGAATACAATAAGGTCAAACGTTACCGAACATATCAGTTATACATAATATCTTAATTTCTAATACTGAATTTATTAAAAACAATTCTCTAAAAATAATTTTGTTTAAAACTGTCAGATCAGAAGATAATCTACACATTGCCCTAGTAACAACATGTAGTACGAGATTGTAGAGGTAACCATGGCAACTTGGGCAAGTCTTAAAATTCATAAATATACGCTGTTGGGATAACACATACTTCAAGAGAGTTCTTAATAATTCACCACACCCGGTTCAACCAGGTCACAGGGCATGAAAAGTCAAAGGTCATTAACAATCAGTAAATTTTAATACAAAGAAGCTAGCTACTGAAGAATAATTCTTAAAAAAGTCAACTTAATTTGGTGCCGAACACGTGTTAAAGATCAAATTTAAAATAGACAATATATACACTATGAAAGGGGTAAATTGATATACATCATGTGAAACGTTAATACAAACTACTTAAGTCAGAGCTTAAAGAGAGAATTCATGCTCAAATGACAACATAAATAAATTTCAAAAAAGCTGTCAATATTTTTGTCATGGAAGTTTATACAGTAAGGTAAAAGTATGTCATATGTCGGTTATATACAGTAATGTGATTGGTAAAATCCAAGAAAACTACAGTAAGATGTCTGTTATATACAACTAGGTGAAATCCTAATAAAATATGAGGTGATCGCTGGAATCTAAATAAAATATGAGGTGATCGTTGAAATTCAAATACTAGATGATTGGGGAAATCCAAATAAAATACGAGATGATCGGGGAAATCCAAATAAAATACGAGATGATCGGGGGAAATCCAAATAAAACAATTTTGGAAATGTGAAATAATGCTAGTTATTACAAAAAAAAACAAAAAAACAAAAAAATACTGTGGATTATTTACATCTAATAAAAAATGTTTTTACTATTTAAGATACCGGTATTATACAAACTATTTGGTTTGTATGAGTGGCCTTTCAAAGTAAATTTCATGTTAATGATCAGAGTGATATGCTAATGAGGACAAACTGCAGATGAAACAAACACAATTAATATGACCAGTAGCTAAAAATTTCACATATTTTTTGACATTCAAATTTTTACGTACTTGTCATTAATATTCGATGAGAATTTTGACATACTTGTCACCGATATCTGATGGGAATTACACTAGTGTATCACTAAATTGAGACCACATACTTTTTTGTGTGTCCATAACAATAACATTGCTATCACTCATTAATTCAACATTGACCAATCAGAGTAACTCTATGATACACATTACTGAAATAACCAATCAGATGACAGTAAAAACACGTAGATTTTTACAAATTTGAAAGACATGTAGGGGTAAAAGCTTGCAGCTAAAATATGATTGACAAAAGAGCTTCTGGTAAATGTCTGTACAGCATCTTTATAGACCAATCACTGGTACCAACTGCTGGTTACCAATCACTGGGCCCAATTGCTAGTTACCAATAACTGGAACCAATTGCTAGTTACCAATCACTGGCAGCAATTGCTGGTAACCAATCACTGGGACCAATTGCTGGTTACCAATCACTGGAACCAATTGCTAGTTACCAATCACTGGGACCAATTGCTGGTTACCAATCACTGGAACCAATTGCTAGTTACCAATCACTGGGACCAATTGCTGGTTACCAATCACTGGAACCAATTGCTAGTTACCATTCACTGGGACCAATTGCTGGTAACCAATCACTGGGACCAATTGCTGGTTACCAATCACTGGGACCAATTGCTGGTAACCAATCACTGGGACCAATTGCTGGTTACCAATCACTGGGACCAATTGCTGGTAACCAATCACTGGGACCAAATTGCTGGTTACCAATCACTGGGACCAATTGCTGGTAACCAATCACTGGGACCAATTGCTGGTTACCAATCACTGGGACCAATTGCTGGTTACCAATCACTGGGACCAATTGCTGGTTACCAATCACTGGGACCAATTGCTGATAACCAATCACTGGGACCAATTGCTGGTTACCAATCACTGAGACCAACTGCTAGTTACCAATCACTGGAACCAATTGCTAGTTACCAATCACTGGAACCAATTGCTAGTTACCAATCACTGGAACCAATTGCTAGTTACCAATCACTGGGACCAATTTCTGGTAACCAATCACTGGGACCAATTTCTGGTAACCAATCACTGGGAACAATTGCTGGTAACCAATCACTGGAACCAATTGCTAGTTACCAATCACTGGAACCAATTGCTAGTTACCAATCACTGGGACCAATTGCTAGTTACCAATCACTGGGACCAATTGCTAGTTACCAATCACTGGGACCAATTGCTGGTTACCAATAACTGGGACCAATTGCTGATAACCAATCACTGGGACCAATTG